CCTTTTCTAAATCCACCACTGCAATGAGAACTTCCCTGCCTTTATCTTAATACTGTTCACATATATGCTTGATAAACACTTGATCTACACATCTCCTAGCCACTCTAAAGCCTCCTTGCTCATCTGCAATCCTACTCTCTGTCTTACTTCTAATTCTTTCAATAATAACCCTACCAAACACTTTTCCTGGTATATACTCAGTAAACTTATTCCCCTAAAATTTTTACAATCTCTTTTGTCCCCCTTCTCTTTATATAAAGGAGCTATACATGCTCTCTGCCAATCTCTAGGTACCTTCCCTTCTGTCATACATTTATTAAACAAAAATATACTAACCACTCCAACACTAAATCCCCCCTTGCGTTTAACGTTCCAGCTGCTTTACCCATTTTCATTCTACATAATGCCTCACGCACCTCCCCCACACACACATGCTGCTCTTCTTCACTCCTAAAAGATGTTATACCTCCCTGGTAAGTGCATGACATTACCACCTCCCTTTCTTCATCGACATTTAAAAGTTCCTCAACATATTCTCACCAGCTACCCAATACCTCCAGCTTCCCATCTACTAACTCCCTTACTCTGTTTTGAACTGACAAATCCATTCGTTTCCTAGGCTTTCTTAACTTGTTTATCTCACTCCAAAATTTTTTCTTATTTTCATCAAAATTTCTTGACAGTGCCTCTCCCATTCTATCATCTGCTCTCCTTTTGCACTCTCTCACCACTCTTTTGACCTTTCTTTTACTCTCCATATACTCTGCTCCTATAACTTTTTTTTTTTTCAACAAACCGGCCGTATCCCACCAAGACAGGGGGGCCCAAAAAGAAAAACGAAAGTTTTTTTTTTTTAAATTTAGTAATTTGTACAGGAGAAGGGGTTACTAGCCCCTTGCTCCCGGCATTTTAGTCGCCTCTTTTCAACGAGCATGGCTTATGAAGGAAGAATTCTGTTCCACTTCCCCATGGAGATAAGAGGAAATAAACAAGAACAAGAACTAGAAAGAAAATAGAAGAAAATCCAGAGGGGTGTGTATATATATGCTTGTACATGTTTGTGTAGTGTGACCTAAGTGTAAGAAGAAGTAGCAAAATGTACCAGAAATCCTGCATGTTTATGAGACAAAAAAAGACACCAGAAATCCTACCATCATGTAAAACAATTACAGGTTTCCGTTTTACACTCACTTGGCAGGACAGTAGTACCTCCCCGGGCGGCTGCTGTCTACCAACCTACTACCTACTCTTATAACACTTATGCTTTGTAAAAACCTCTCCATAAGCTACCTTTTTCTCTTTTATCACACCCTTTACTTCATCATTCCACCAATCACTCCTCTTTCCTCCTGCACCCACCCTCCTATAGCCACAAACTTCTGCCCCACATTCTATTATTGCATTTTTAAAACTATTCCAACCCTCTTCAACCCCCCCCCCCCCCCACACTACTCACACTAGGCCACCTTTCTGGGAATAGTTTCTTATATCTCACCCTAACTTCCTCCTCCTTTACCTGGAGTTTACCTGGAGAGAGTTCCGGGGGTCAAAACCCCTGCGGCCCGGTCTGTGACCAGGCCTCCTGGTGGATCAGAGCCTGATCATCCAGGCTGTTACTGCTGGCTGCACACAATCCAACGCACGAGCCACAGCCCGGCTGGTCAGGTACCGACTTTAGGTGCTTGTCCAGTGCCAGCTTGAAGACTGCCAGGGGTCTATTGGTAATCCCCCTTAGATATGCTGGGAGGCAGTTTATACACTTTCACCTCTCTCTTAGTTGTTGTTGCCATTTTCCTTTTGTCCTATCTTCCTCTTACTCTAACTGTAGCTACAACTAAATAATGAACCAATATGTCAGTTGCCCCTCTATAAATGTGTACATCCTGAACCCTACCCATCAACCTTTTATCCACCAATACATAATCTAACAAACTACAGTGGATCCCCGTTATAGACCGAATTTGTTCCCATAAGAGATATTGTGAAGTAGATTAGTCCGTTTCAGACCCCCACAAATACACCTACGAAAGCACTTACAAAAATACACTTACATAATTGGTCGCGTTGAGAGCTGATCGTTATGTGGGGGTCCACTGTACTTTCATTACATGCTATATCATACCTTGTATACTTATTTATCCTCTTTTTCATAAAATATGTATTACTTATTACCAAACCTCTTTCTACACATAGCTCAATTAAAGGCTCCCCATTTTCATTTACCCCTGGCACCCCAAATTTACCTACTACTCCCTCCACAACATTTTTACCCACTTTAGCATTGAAATCCCCAACCACAAGTACTCTCACACTTGATTTAAAACTCCCCATGCACTAACTCAACATTTCACAAAATCTCTCTCTCATCTACACTTTTCTCTTCTCCAGGTGCATAAATGCTTACTAAAATCCACTTTTCACATCCAACCCTTATTTTACTCCACATAATCCTTGAATTAGTACATTTATATTCCCTCTTTTCCTGCTATAACTTTTCCTTCAACATTATTGCTATTCCTTTAGCTCTAACTCTATTTGAAACCCCTGACCTAATCCCATTTATTTCTCCCCACTAAAACTCTCCCATCCCTTCAGCTTTGTTTATATATTTATTTATTTATTAATTTGAGCATGATACATTGAAGTACTGTACAAGGAAATACAGTGGTTAAGTGTAACATGCCAAAGCCCCTTGTATGCAGAGCATTATGGGCAGGCTTAAAATCCCAGGACATCCAGCTTCTTCTCATTCATAACATCCACAATCATCTCTTTCTTATCATTTGCACAACATCCAAGCACATGCAGACATCCCACTGTGACGGTTTTCTTCTTTTTCTTTTTAGTAGGCTATACGGGAAAAGGGGTTACTAGCCCATTGTTCCCGGCATTTTAGTTGACTTTTACAACACGCATGGCTATGGAGGAAAGATTTTTATTCCACTTCCCCATGGATACAAAAGGAAAAGCAATAAGAACAAGAACTATTAAGATAAAATCAAAGAAAATTCAGACGAGTGTATACATAAATGTGTACATGTATGTGTAGTGTGACCTAAGTGTAAGTAGAAGTAGCAAGATGTACCTGAAATCTTGCATGTTTATGAGACAGACAAAAGACACCAGCAACCCTACCAACGTGTAAAAGAATTACAGGCTTTCGTTTTACACTCACTTGGCAGGACGATAGTACCTCCCTGGGCGGTTGCTGTCTACCAACCTACTATCTTATATCTATTATGTACAATACCTACGACTTACAATACCTAACACTTAATATACCTATGACTTTCAATACCTATTTCAACAGTAATTTTCCCTTCATGGCCAAAGAAAAAGAAATAAGCAGCTTCGGACCGCGGAAAAAATTCAGAAAATTAAACCACTGGCCTTAAGTAAATTTCTTTAGGCACAGGTACACATGTACAATTATTATACATAATGCAAATTACAGTTGAGTTACTTAGCTGTTTAAACTTTTTTAAAGTTTAAATACTAAGATATTACAAGGGCCCCAATGGAAGTAAGTCACTTTGTCTGATTTTCTTTTGGGTTATCCTAAGCAATTTATACATGTGTTACTGTGTATGATGATTTGTGTAACTGGATTTGTGTGTACCTGTACCTAAATAAGCTTACTTAACCCCCCCAAAAAATGTCAATCAAAGTGAGTTATTTCCCTTGGGGTCCTTGTAATATCTTAGTATTTAAACCATATGTTATCTTTATGGTGCTCCTTGGCCTGATCGCTAAAGCTCTCGCTTCACGCAGTGAGGGTCTGTGTTCGACTCCCAGCGTGGGTAGAAACATTGGGCTTGTTTCAGTAAAATGGGTACCTGGGTGTTAGCTGACTGGTGTGGGTCGCATCCTGGGGCAAGGACCTAATTTGCCCGAAATGCTCTGCATAACAAGGGGCTTTCTATATAGTAGTATGTCATTGATGTCAGCTAGGACTGTATACCATGTACATGTACTTGTAGTAAATAAAGATATTATTTATTATATTATCTTAAAACAGGCCCGGTGGCCTGGTGGCTAAAGCTCCCGCTTCACACACAGAGGGCCCGGGTTCGATTCCCAACGGGTGGAAACATTTCGACACGTTTCCTTAAACCTGTTGTCCTGTTCACCTAGCACCAAATAGGTACCTAGGTGTTAGTCGACTGGTGTGGGTCGCATCCTGGGGAACAAAATTGAGGACTCCAATGGAAATAAGTTAGACAGTCCTCGATGACACACTGACTTTCTTGGGTTATCCTGGGTGGCTAACCCTCCGGGGTTAAAAATCCGAACGAAATCTCTCTTAACTAAACTGTAATTTACACTATACGTATATAATTCTACCTGTATGTACTTGTGCCTAACTAAACTTAACTATGGCCAGCGGTTTAATTTTCTGGCGGGGTGGAAACATTTCGTCCTGTTCACCTAGCAAGTAGGTACCTGGGTGTTAGTCGGCTGGTGTGGGTCGCATCCTGGGGACAAGACTGAGGACCCCAATAGAAATAAGACAAACAGTCCTCGATGACATAAGAACATAAGAAAGAAGGAACACTGCAGCAGGCCTACTGGCCCAAGCGAGGCAGGTCCAAGTCTCCTACCGGCTTAAGCCAATGCCGCAACCTAGTCAGGTCAGGCCACATTCACTTAAGGAAGGAACACGGCAACTGACCTAGTAGCACTGCCTTTCTTGGGTTATCCTGTGTGGCTAACCCTCCGGGATTAAAAATCCGAACAAAATCTTATCTGTCAAAGTGACCTAATTCCATTGGGGTCCATACAAATACGCAACTCCCGAGAACAGAGCAGCAACTTCCCTATTACGAGGCAATATGTAAGTCACAGCACACACAAAAACAATTCAAATAGGCAAGATAAACCCCCCAGAGATACTAAAAGCACCTACGTTCTCTACAGCATCCTAGGTTATCTATACATATGCTGCTACGTATGATAATCCATGTACGTAACTGTATTTGTGTATACCTGAATAAACTTACACAAAATAAAATAGGCTGTCTAAGCCACACTCGTCCAGCCTTGTAAGTCTGCCTGTGGTGGTCCACATCCGCATATTTACATAGACATCTTCAGCCTGTTTCCAAAATTGTTCCCAAAACTTTTTTTTTTTTCAGAAGCATTATGCATGTGTGTGAAATATGTGTAATGCTCTGGACGAGTCCGAGGAAAGGGATTATCGCCTCAGTTCGAATTATCAGGATTGGCGAATTTTATTTGTGTGAGAGTTCAGACTTGGTAGTCACTGACAACTCGAGTTGGCAGCAATATCTTTCAGACTTCGAGGTTAAGGGCGTCTCCAGACTTAGAAGTTGAGGACACCTTCAGACTTGGCTGTTGTAGACACCCTCAGACTTGATTGTTGTAGACACCTTCAGACTTGGCTGTCGCAGACACCTTCAGACTTGGCTGTCGTGGACATTTCAGACTTGGCTGTCGTAGACCCCTAAGACTTGGTTGTTGTAGACACCCTCAGACTTGGCTGTTGTAGACACCTTCAGACTTGGCTGTCGTAGACACCTTCAGACTTGGCTGTTGTAGACACCTTCAGACTTGACTGTTGTAGACACCTTCAGCAGTACCTGGGAGGGGAGTTTGTTTACGTAGTAGTTGGTGCTTCTTATGTGAGCATTATTATTATAATCAAGGGGAAGCGCTAAACCCGTAGGATTATACAGCGCCGGGGGGGATGTGGAAGGCATTCAGGCTTAATTACTGGAGCACAGATCCAATTCCCTAAATCAAGAGCCCCTCACCAACTTCAAGGAACCTTCCGTGAGGGGTCTCATGTAAGCAACAACGTACCATCAAACAGGTTTCTCATTATATTATTAATAACATTATTATTATTATAATCAAGGGGGAAGCGCTAAACCCGGAGGATTATACAGCGCCTGTTTATTAATAACAAAAAAGGCACAAGTCGGACCGAAACGTCGTCGTAAGCTCCTGTCTTGTATGTGCGAGTTATTTATGTAGGTTTCTCATTATTTTAGGAATTAAAATATTTTTGTCTGGTGGAGAAAAGGTTACTTGCAGCCCTAACGGCTTTAATATAGTCGATAGTATCTAAACTCCGTTAACCAACCACTGGAAATAAGTCACTTTTTTCACTGTTTTGGGGTTATCCTAGGTAATTTACACATATGTTACTATGTAAGGCAGTTACAATCATCCATTAATTGTGTATTATTATTATTATTATTATTATTATTATTATTATTATTATTATTATTATTATAAAAAAGAAGCGCTAAGCCACAAGGGCTATACAGCTCCATAATTGTGCAAAATTGTACCCAAAGCTTACTGAGCAGATTTTTCAGATTTCTTTGACGGTTTTGAAGTATTGGTAGTAACTAGTTAAGTTTATTTAGGTATACACAAATACAGTTACATAGATTATCATACATAGCAGTATATGTGTAGATTACATATGATAACTCAAAAAAGTCAAAGTGACTTATTTCCACTGGGGTCTGGCTCTGCCCTGGGCATCAGTGGTATAATACCCCAGGCGACTCTGCGGTTTTGTATTCCCTGCCTTTCTCTGTATATCCCTTGTGGCTTAGCGCTTCTTTTTGATTATAATAATAATAATTACTTGCCTTACAATTTTGATTGCTGTGGGCCTCCTTCCTTCTTAAAAAAAATCCCAGATTTTAACACTCTATGGCTTTTTAAAAAACGGTCAGTAATTTTGGTGAACTTTGGGTGTAACTGAGTTTATTTAGGTCCAATTTTACATAATTTTGGGTTCCTTGAAGCCGGCGAGGGCTTTTGATTTAAGGATTGGATCTGTACTCGCCTGCTTTGGATTAAACCTGAATGCCTTCCATTTTCCCAGGAGCTGTATGATCTCTACGGGTTTAGCGCTCCCATACGAAAGTAGTAATACTACCTGGACCCCTCAAGGAAGGTTCCTTGACGCTGGTGAGGGGCTCTTGATCTAGGGAATTGGATCTGTGCTACACTTCCTTGAATTAAGCCTCAATACATTCCGCATCCCCCCCTCACAGGCGCTGTATAATCCTACGGGTTTAACGCTTCCCCTTAATAATAATAATAATACCTGGACTATACCTAAAGTATACCTGGAGTTTATAATTATTACAGTTTTCTTGCATGGTAACAAAATTATAAATTACTGAGGATAACCCACAGAAAGTCAAAGTGACTTATTTCAGTCGAGGTTTTCCATTTTTTCCAGGCTTTTTGGATATTGTGTCTACCTCTAATGCTTTTTTTTTTGTATTTTCTTTTTAATATTCGACCAAATCTGTGAAATATCTAAACATAAAAACCTAGAGAGGGGAAAAAAATCCTCAAAACTGTCCTAAGATTGATGCAAGTTGTATTAGCCCTTCAAGTCCAACAATAACAACAGTGGTCGTCATCAATCACGTATTGTTAACTCTGGCTTTAAGACAGTCTAACAGGCATTTTATGATTATTCCAACTATTCTTTTTGTTATAACGTTAAGATCCCATTTGATACGATGTAATTCAATTGTCATTTATTTTCAAAATAACGTAGCCCAGTAGAGATGGAAATAAGTCACTTGGACCTTTTTCGGGGGGAGGTTATTTTAGTTAATTTACACTAATGTTAGACAACCTTAATCACCGTTAATAAACTTAACATAGGAGATAAGTTTTTTTCGTTGAAAAGCCCATAGTATTCATATCATTTCGAACAAAATTTCAACAGTGCTGTCTGGAATAATGTGTAGAATTACCGTCAATATGTGAGGTAAAACGACACGTCTGTAACTAATGTGAAAATTTATGGCAACGTTTCGCTCTGCAAGACCTTTGCCAAGCCATCTGACAAAGCTTGACAAAGCTCATGGAGAGCAAAACATTGCTACAATAAAGTACCACATTAGTTGCACGTGTATCCTCTTACCTAACAGTGCTGTTTATAATCTTGGGATTTCAGGCCATGCATTTTTTTTTTTATCAAAATTTAAAATACACCATATTGTGTAGCTATTCTAATGTGTATGACATACAAGGTTAGAACAAGAATTGTATTTATTCATAACACTATCACACAGCACCATGATGGATGAAGGGTTTGGCTATTAACCAAATTTACCCATGGCAAACAAAATACAGTGAGAAACTAAGAACGAACAAACATATTACCAACAACCTGTAAATATGAAATAGAATAGAACCGAATTCAACATGACCTAATTCTGCTGCTGCCTGATTTAGCTTTGGAAATAACAGTAAAAATTGGGTGGTTTTTATGTGCAGCTGTGATGTTGTAGCATAGAGAAAATAGCACTGCATAATAGGATTTTATTAGATTACTTGCTTCAAAAACAAGAACTTTAACATTCACTCCACCCTTCACTCGACTACAACAATAGCAACAGATGCTTCTTTTGCAATTCTTGTGGAAATAATAATTTCATTCCTTTAGAGCTGCTTCCTTTTCCCGAGTCAATTGCACCATGGTGGCTGTGGAAGTTACAGCTTACAATGTTGTCATGGTATGAGGGAGTAACTTTTCCTGGCTACACTTAAACATACTTTATTTGGATTGGTTAGTCTGGAGGTTTATTAGCCCAGGATAACCCAAGAAATGAATGACTTGTGCAACACCTGGATATCTTTACCTGAGAGATGTTTTGCCAAAGTTTATTTTTTGGGTTACCCTGCCTCAGTGGGAGACAGCCCACATGTTAAAAAAAATATGTATGTATATGTATATATATGTAGTTAATTTTTAGTTAATTTTCTTTTTCTTCCACTTAGGTTTAGAGTCAACACCAAGGATCACTAATGCCACCTTTGAAGTCTGTTGATCGGTTGGAGAAGTTATGTAGCTGGAAAATAGCAAATCACTTGTTTGGCATCTTGTCATCCTGGTACAAGGCTGAAAAAGGAGGTAAATGCACCATTGATTTGAATAATGCAAGTTTTGACAGTGAAAATGGTGTTGGACCTGACATTGTAGATGGGAAACTAGAAACTTTCGATTTTATGGATTATAACTCTGAACAAAACGATGATGATAATGCAAAGGATGAATGGTATATCAAACACTTGACTTACAATAATGTATTTGAGGATGACAGTGACAGTGAAAATTCTAGAACTGGCATTTTCACTCCAGTTCCCCAGCAGTATAGAACAGTCAATGCTGTTACACACTGGTTAGCCAGAGAAGTTAGAGACTTTATGATATGCCACTTAGCTCCTAGATTCCATGAAGAAATTTTAGCAACTGTGATAAATATGATCGCATCCAGAATTGAAATTCCTAGACCAAAAGAAAAGTTGCGAGTTTATGAAGAGGACTTGGACTTTCTTAAAACTCTAGGCTTTCTTTTAAGTGTGTGCTTAAGATGTCTGATGACAAAGGGTGTTACAGCCTTGGATCTTTCTCATGTTTCACATTTATTGAAGAGATGGAGATTGGTTTGCTCAGGAGGGGGAACCAAGAGAAATGGTGAAATTTGTGTGAGCCCATATTTTGACATATTTGGTTATGCATTTGATGTTGCTGTTTCAGGATTAAGGACATTAAAGTTTATTAAACTGCCTCATTTTGTTCATAATAGTTTTGTAAGGAAAGTTGCATACCTGTGCCCCAACCTAGAAATACTTATTTTACGCTGCTCGGCAGATTGTGCCAATCCAAAGCATCATGTCCCAGTTGTTACAAATGTTGAAGTTCTTTATGGGGAATCTGTAGTTTGTCCTGATGGACAGGTGAGAATAATACCTGGGTGCAGAGATCTGGTGACTCTTGCATTACCGGAGGGTGTTGAAACATTAGATGTTACCAGTGATGCTATTGAAATGTTAACATATATGCCAAAACTCGAATATCTTGTTGGTGTGCCTATGATTTATGTAACAGAAGAATTTGAAGAAATTTTTGAAACACTACCTGTAGCACCTAAGCTAACCAATTTTCACCATGGTGCTTACCCAAAATCCAATTGGCCTTCATTTGTTTATGAAGAATCTTTGTTGGAGCCAAATCCAGAATACTTGGCTAGAGTTTTTTCACAAGTTAAAGAAGTTGGAATTTATGCTCCAACTGAAGTAACAGAGAAGGTTTTAAAGAGTTTTTCAAAAGCTCAAGACATCACCATTTTTACAGATGATTTTGAAGTCCATGGTAAATACTTGAAAAACTTGACATCACTTGATATCAATGTAGGATATCAAGAGGAATGGCCTATCCTTATATCTCTTAGCCAAACTTCTCCAAAATTGGAACAGTTAACACTTAGATCATTTTCACTGCAGATTAGCGACATTCATGATCAAAAGCCTTGCTTTCCCTTGCTACGTACACTCAAATTTCATGGCCAGAATGTACTTCAGGGTGATGCTCTACTCACCTTCATTGGTGGTTGTCCACTTCTCACAACCTTTGTTCTTTCAATGATCACAGATGAGGATGGTGAAGGTCAGTTGGATGATGACATACTGCTACGAGCTGCACCATTGTTGCCTAACATTCAAAAATTTATTTATAAAGTTCAGAGTGCTCTGAGAACAATGGACGGTATACCCTCAAGTCTTACAATGAAGTCTTGTGATGCCTTAATTAATGCATGTCCACAGCTTACTCACATTGGACAAATGGAGACCTGGAAAGTAACCAAGTCTGAAATAGTCATGTTACAAGAGAAACTCAGAAAGAGAAACTGGGATTTAGAGATTGTATGACATGTTTAAGGATTCAGGGAAACCGGCAGGCCGGACTTGAGTCCTGGAGATGGGAAGTACAGTGCCTGCACTCTGAAGGAAGGGTGTTAATGTTGCAGTTTTAAAACTGTAGTGTAAGCGCACCTCTGGCAAGACAGTGATGGAGTGAATGATGCGAAAGTTTTTCTTTTTGGGCCACCCTGCCTTGGTGGGAGACGGCTGATGTATTAATAAAAAATAAAAATAAAAACAATGCCAAGCAAGCATTTTATTTTAGCCAACATCTCATTCAGGACTTGATAAAGCAAAGACTTGCTTTATATTACGTGTTGTGATGTTTACCTGATCACCATGTGTAAGACTGCCAGAGTTTCTAGTGTTAAATCTTCTCTTGCTAGAATGATCTATAAATACAGAAAAATTTGTTTTTGTTAGAATTGTCTAGTAATACACTACCTTCATAATAATAGTTCTTATAATTATTGTAAATGATATACAACATGTTTTTTGTTTTGGTCTGCCTTTTGTGCCATATAATGCACAAAATACTGTATTTATGCAATAAATGAAATTTTTATTTACTGTACATATGTATTTCCTAAATTTTATCCTGGTACCTGTATTTATAATGCTTTATAATAATAATTATGCTAGAGGCAGCAGAGATATTACATTTGAGAGCAGTGTGTGGTGTGAATATCATGCAAAGAATAGAGAGTAGAGATTTTTAAAAGGCAAGCTGAAGAGGGATTGGTGAAGTGATTTGGGTAGTATATAGAGAGGATGTAGAGGAATAGGTTGATGAAGAAGGTGCATAAATCTGGGGTGGAGGGTGAAGGGTTATTCCAGGACCAGTTGGAGTGATTAGCTACAAGAGGTTTTTGAGTTTTAGGGGCTTGAGCAGTTAACATGCTGGGAAATTTGTTTATATAGTAAAATAGTAAAAAACTTGGAATCATTGGAATCTGTACCATAACTGGAGAATGACTCATCTGGCTATCTTCAAATTTTCACCACTGGTGTAGTTTCCTAAACACAAGACTCACCCTGCTATTGCCATTTTTATTGAATAGTGATACTAATTTTTATTTAATTAAGGAGGGATGATAACCCATAAGTTTAATCTGAGGAGGTGCAGATCTTAAATCTTGCTGAAATGGTTAAGATAAGATAAGATAAGATTTCATTCGGATTTTTAACCCCGGAGGGTTAGCCACCCAGGATAACCCAAGAAAGTCAGTGCGTCATCGAGGACTGTCTAACTTATTTCCATTGGGGTCCTTAATCTTGTCCACCAGGATGCAACCCACACAAGTCGACTAACACCCAGGTACCTATTTGCTGCTAGGTGAACAGGACAGCAGGTGTAAGGAAACATGTCAAAATGTTTCCACCTACCGGGAATCGAACCCAGGCCCTCCGTGTGTGAAGCGGGAGCTTTAGCCACCAGGCCACCGGGCCACCGGGTAAGTTTATTCCTGGAGAATGTCTTCTATCACTGGTGGGCTTTATTAAAACATAGTTTTTTATTTCTTTGAGCTGTGTAAATTTCAGTTTGCCAATTTTATTAAGTAAATTGCTACTCATGTAGCTAGAGAATGCCTCTTATGATTGTCTTCAAACCTGAAATGCTGGTGTATCCACTGAAAGGATTTTTGTTTTAATTTTTGGCTCTGTGGAGTGCCAATTTGCCAATGTTTTGTTAATTTTATCAAATTGGACTAAAAGAAAAAACAGACTCAAATGTTTTTTCTTATAAGATTGCAGAGAGTTTTAAATAATGTAAATCAGAAAAGAAAATTGGAAAAAAAAAATGCATTTTTAAGTTTAATAGGGGAGACTTTCCTATTTTGTTGGAACATTCTCAGGAACATTTTCATTTGCTTTCTCAAATTTTCATTTATTACTCAAGAATGCCTTATTCTATTGACTTCAAGTTTTCAATGCTGGTGTAATGCATCTTGGGCAAGATTCATGGGACTATTTGTATGCTTTGGTGCCCTATGCACACTGCTACATAGATCATTCCCAAATTTTGTTTCCATGTGATAGGTAGAGACAGGCTCCTCTGATTGTCTTCAAAATTTCAGCACTCGTGTATCCTATCTAGAAGGAGGTTGGTATAATTAATAGAGTATATAGTTGTTATTTTGCCCATTTTAATCTAGAAATGGTATTGCATTATTATTCATTGCATTTTTTGCCTTGATGCTGGTCAGAAGCTCGTGATCCAAGGAACTGGATTTATCTTCTTGCTTTTATTGAACTGAAAAGTCGCTCTTTCCACAGGCATTATTTGGCTCCTATAACCCCTATAGGTTTAGCAGTTTCCTCTGCCTGAAATATAACAATTGTGAATGGTATAAATCTTCAATGGCTGCTGCATCATATGAAATGGATGGAACATTTTAAGGGTTTAGGCTGTGTAGGCACAAATTTTTTTGAATTTTGTGCAATTACTGGTGGGTTTTCCTCAAAGGTAGCAATCTCTTGATGTTAGGTTGTGTAACTTATCCAGTTTTATTAATGAAATTGGTTTCAGTGAAATCATTTGACAATGTCTCTTCTGATCAGAAATGTCAGTGTGATTTTATCTGGTTATCCTATGTTAATCAACATAATACTCTTATGTTCCTATAACATCTATGTGCCCTGAATACCACTGTTAAAAATGTGTTACATATATACTAAGCTTACATAAAACTTACAGTACATACTACTTTCCTAAAAGGTGGTTAATCTTTCTTGGAGAAAAGTTTGGATTCATATTGGCCTGTGTAGGTCCCACTTTGCTTTTTTGGAAAAAAATTAAAAAAAAAAAAAAAAAAAAAAAAAATTCATGCTATAATTTTTGAGTGTCTCATTTGATTATCATGCTGATAATTTAATAATGCAACTTCTGTACAGCTTCAGGCTTAAGATGCCGGTGTATCTTAATATGTTTGTGTAGCTTATGAGCTGTGTACGTTCTAATTTTCCATTTTTACTGAAGTGTGAATATTAGTTTCCATATGACGACTTGTGCAGCCTCTTCTCCTTCCCTTTAATTTTTCACTGCTTATATTTAATTACTGTATTAACTTATGCCGCACTCTTCATTCCATTGAGGCACAAGGAACTAAGGGTATGGAATACAGGGATACTTTTTTTGGATTGCTCAATGACCAAAATATAGTACATGGAGTTACTTAAGATACAACAACATATTTTTAACATGAACTTATAATCCTTAGAGATAAGGGACATTATGCAAGATAAAAACACTTAGGAAGCATATAGCACTGTTTCCAATGGTGCCAATCTGACAATGAGCCACCTGGTCACAGTAAATTAACAAAATGCTGCAGTAGTTCAGTGATAGACTGATGGGTTAATATCAGACACTGAGACAATGGGAATGCATATTCTTGAACATCAAAATGGTATACAATACCGACAGGTTGTTAGGTAAGACACATATGCAACAGTTAGACAACTTTATTCCGAAACGTTTCGCCTACACAGTAGGCTTCTTCAGTCGAATACAGAAAGTAGGCAGGAACAGTAGAGATGTGAAGACGATGTAATCAGTCCATCACCCTTGTAGTCGTAGAATTTGAGGTTGTCAGTCCCTCGGCCTGGAGAAGTTCAGTTCCATAGTCAGGAACTGAACTTCTCCAGGCCGAGGGACTGACAACCTCAAATTCTACGACTACAAGGGTGATGGACTGATTACATCGTCTTCACATCTCTACTGTTCCTGCCTACTTTCTGTATTCGACTGAAGAAGCCTACTGTGTAGGCGAAACGTTTCGGAATAAAGTTGTCTAACTGTTGCATATGTGTCTTACCTAACAATGCATATTCTTGCTGGCTTTTATAACCTCCCAGACAGTCCTTCCTGCCTAAGTTTATGAGATTTCACCACCTTTTATTCCCTACCTTATCCTGAGCCAATCATAACTGCTCTAACTACCTATGTCACACTGACCTCATATCAGAGCAGTGGCTAGAAGCAACCCTTTGTCTTTGACCTTCCTTCATGACCTGACCACACTGCTAAGTACCCAAACTTGCCTTCCATCCAGATATAACTGTTTCAAGTATCTTTTGTTTAAACTCACTGGCTTATTAAGGAAATAGACAAAATTTAAAAATATGAAAATTTATCTCTACTCAGTAAGTTTATTTAAGTACAGGTACACATAAATACAATTATCATACATAGTTTAATATGTGGTGTAAAGTACCAAGGATAACCCAAAAAAAAGTCAGAGGAAGTAACTTAATTCCATTGGGGGTCCTTGTAATATCTTAGTACTTTAAGACTAACTGTAAGTTACTGTAGAAATCAGTCATGAAGGGTTTTGAGTTTACCGAGATATTAATGCCAGTGAGGGAATTTTTTTCAATGACTCACTCTTTAATGCTAGGAATATAAAGCTCCATTCTCTGAGTACTATGGTGATACAGCACATTGACTTGCTAAGATGGTCCTCATCCCTTTGTTCAGTATTTTTTTTTTTTAAGTCCTCCAGGCATTTTCTCAAACAAAAACACAAGCAGGGGTGGTAGAATCACAATGCATCAGGGTATAATGTGCTTACTGCACACAAATGAGGTGTGAGTGATCAATACAGCTGATTATCAAGAATCCATTTGCACAAATTTATACTGACGGTAAAATCTTTACTAACACTTTGGGGTCGACCACAATGTTTACTTTGCTTCTCGCACTTCTCAATTTTATTATGTTGATATAAATGACATTGAAAGCATATAAATCTATAGGGGAAGGAAGGCGGGGTAGGGGTCGTCCTCGAAAGGGTTGGAGAGAGGGGGTAAAGGAGGTTTTGTGGGTAAGGGGCTTGGACTTCCAGCAAGCGTGCGTGAGCGTGTTAGATAGGAGTGAATGGAGACGAATGGTACTTGGGACCTGACGATCTGTTGGAGTGTGAGCAGGGTAATATTTAGTGAAGGGATTCAGGGAAACCGGTTATTTTCATATAGTCGGACTTGAGTCCTGGAAATGGGAAGTACAATGCCTGCACTTTAAAGGAGGGGTTTGGGATATTGGCAGTTTGGAGGGATATGTTGTGTATCTTTATATGTTTATGCTTCTAGACTGTTGTATTCTGAGCACCTCTGCAAAAACAGTGATAATGTGCGAGTGTGGTGAAAGTGTTGAATGATGATGAAAGTATTTTCTTTTTGGGGATTTTCTTTCTTTTTTGGGTCACCCTGCCTCGGTGGGAGACGGCCGACTTGTTGAAAAAAAAAAAAAAAAAAAAAAAAAATATAAAACTAACAAAGGATGCATAGAAAGAATGTTAGTGACTGTTTTCAGTATAAACATATACTCACACTTACATGCACACATGGTCTGGAGATTCCAGTATCTCAGATCTATTAAACAATTATGATGGTAGGTAAGACACATAGGCAACAGTTAGGCAACTTTATTCCGAAACGTTTCGCCTACACAGTAGGCTTCTTCAGTCGAATACAGAAAGTAGGCAGGAACAGTAGAGATGTGAAGACGATGTAATCAGTCCATCACCCTTGAAGTCGTAGAATTTGAGGTTGTCAGTCCCTCAGCCTG